AAATAACATCCACACAGTGACTTGCCGTTCCACAAATAAAGTTCTGTAAAGTAAAATATAACATTGGTTTGTACCTTCTTTTTTCCCTCATAGTATGAGAAATCCTTTTATTAAATGCTCTAAATTAGTCCTCTGCAATAACTATATTTAAAAAGAGTTAGAATGATCATGGTGAACAATAATCTAAAATGGTAAAGAGCGACAAAAGATAAATTAAAATTTCAGGACATTCAGATATGAAGAATGAATGAATAACTGAATAAAGAGATTAGGAGGCCAGTTAAAAGACTTCCAAAGGTTGGCAGAAAATGATACAGGCTTATACTAAGCTAGAAAAAGTTCATTTCAGAAACAAAATTTTAAAAGAAGACAAATCAACAGAACCCAGTGAATCTTACATTAATTCTTAAAACTAAACTATTGAAACCAGATACTGGGTACAGTACACACGCTTGAGAAAAGTGAGAGCATAGGCAGTCCTCAATATTGCTTCGTTTGAAGTCCATCAATGTGGATATTTGTACTACATCTATTGATGCTACTACCTCCCTGCCCTGTGTTGACACTCAGATGCCAGCCAATGAATGAACTTTTTTTGTTTTTATTTTATGGTGCAGCTGCCCATAAGCCAATAGTTCAATTTTTGCAGAATCACCATCTTTGTCATTACCTGGAGAATTATTCATACACTTATTCAAATGTTATTGCATATTTTCATTATTACAAAGAAGTGAATGGGAAATGGGAAAATTAAAAGCCTAATAGTAATTATGAGAAGTGTTTGTCTCATAAACTCAAGTAAGACAAAGGTAGAAGTTATTAGATATGCCAAAAATGGCAAATCTTTTCATCTGAATCAGACATTTATTGAACTTGAACTGGTCAACTGTTGTTGAAATGAGGAGAAAATAACCAAAATTGTGGAAAGTTTAAAGAAAGAAAAATTAGAAAAAGGAGTATACACTGAATGCTGTGTCTAAATAGCAAGGCATAATTAGAGATTTCATAATATATTTGGCTCTCTAGGGCCAGAATCCCTTATAATATGTAGGCTTTTATACAATCTTCAGACCTATTTTCAGGAATGTGTCCTTTCAGGAAAGAAGGAAAGACAGTATTGAACCAGTCACCATGTTTCTAATCAAAAACGGAGGCAGAAGTGTTTTATAAACGGAAAAGCACAGAGCAAAGTTGGTTATTTTTATTGGCATTGGCACTTCCATTCCAGTGCTCTGACACTGTCATTCCAAAAACCAAACCAAAACCATCCTAAAGAATAAGCTCAGTTCTTCATTATACGTCCTGCAATAATGTTCAACATGTAACATTAATTCAGTGACATTTGGTGTTTCATAAGTCCTCCTTGGATATTTTGTCTTGTCCTTTTCCAATCCAAGTTATTATTTATTATTATAATTATTATTTGAGACAGAGTCTCACTCTGTCACCCAGACTGGAGTGCAGGGTCATGATCTCAGCTCACTGCAACCTCTGCCTCCCAAGCTCAAGTGATTCTTGTGCCTCAGCCTCCCAAGGAGTTGGGATTACAGACATGTGCTACCACTCCCGGCTAATTTTGGTATTTTTAGTAGAGACAGGGTGTTGCCATGTTGGCCAGGATGGCCTAGGACCCCTGGCCTCAAGTAATCTTCCCACCTCAGCCTCACAAAGTGTTGGGATTACAGGTGTGAGCCACCATGCCCAGCCCCACTCGAAGTTATTAACTCCCTAGTCTATGTCCAGCCAAATTGGAAATTCTCAACTGGCTTTTCCACACCCTTCATATGTATACAATACTGTCCCAACCACTTTATGTGCTAACAAAATGTGCTAAGAAAATGTTGACTATCATTCATCCATTTACTTTTCTCCAGCATTCTTTAGGCATTTATTACATAACTATGTAATGGGTCAGTCACTTGTATAAGAGCTTACAATAAGGAATGATGAACTCACCAATCCGTTCAGGATAAACATTCAGGTAATAAACATAGCTGATACAATGTGAGAAATGCTATATTAAAGCTATCCACAAGAATGGGAACTCACATGACATATCGCTAAGTTTATGAGAGAATTGAGAGAAGCTTCAGAGGGAAAGTCTTCAAAGGGATTTGAATAGTGTCTTAAACGATGAATGGGTGGTAAGTAGTTGGTTAGAAAGGAAAGAGGGTCAAAGGCATTGTCAGCGGAAGGAGCAGCACACACAGCTGGGTCATGGAAGAGTGAGAGTGCACAACGTATTCTTGAGACAGTAACAAGATCAAGATCAAGATCAGTGCGGGCTGGAGAGCTGGGGACCAGAGAAGCAGAAAATAACCCTAAGAAGTGCTGCAAAGGTGGTCTTGTGTATCATGGTAAGGAGGTGAGACTTACAAGTCAGTGTTTTTCCAAATGTGATCTGAGGTCACCTCTACCAGGTTCACTTGGAGATCTCAAAATGCAGACTACTGGCCCTTACATCTGGGGTGAAGCCCTGGAATTTATATTTTCAACATGCACCCAGGTAACACTGACATTCACCATCCAGAGAGCTGCCAAAGATTTTTAAACAAGGGAGTAACATGATCAGATTTGCATTTTAGAAATACACTATTAGACCAAGCAGACAATCCCAAAGAAGGTAAATCCACTGCTGCTAAATGAGCATGTGACTAGGGTTTTGCATTAGAATCACCTGGGGAACTTGTAAAAATGCAGACTTCTCACAACTCACAGAAGACTTACTACATCTAAATCAAGGCAGAAGGGGTTAAGGTTTATATAGTTTGAACCATACAAAATTGCCATTTATTTAGGTCAAAAATGGTCAAATATCAACAATTCCTCATAGTTCACTCTAATATTTTAACAAATCTCCCCACTTCATGCTTCTGGTATAAACCAAAGTCTGAGAATAGTTAGTGAAATACAGACAGAGATAAATGCTTTTCCCTTTTCATTAATTATCGATGTTATTACTCACTCTGAGTAATATGCAAAGATGGAAGTAACATAATTTATGTACCTAAAACAAAAGCTAAAGAGAAAAGAGGGGGTTCAAAAACAGCCAACAATGAAGTAAGGCAGCTAATTTAAGGATTTTGGAGCCAGAAGGAACACTGGAGATTATTCCACTCTTTCCCCACCTCTCAATACAAGTTTCTACATAATAAAACTGATGCCTAAATGGAGAAAAGCAATCTGCTTGAGGTCATAGGGAATATTTTGTTCAATTTCTCAATGATATGCACTTTTAATGTGCTCTTACGTGCATTTTAACGAGTATGGAAATTGTGTGGCTAAAAATACTTGGGATTTAATCTATAGAGTGCTAGGTCACACACTTGAAATGGCGGAGGCACATAAAGCCAATACTCATACATAGCCATTTTTAAAATATAAAACCTAAAACAGTGTTTGACTTGTAATAGATGTTTAATAAATACTTACTGAACAAGTAAGTGACCCCTAAGAAATAGGTTAAAGAAAGTATATTAATGCAAAGGATTTCCAAGGAGGTATACAGGCTGTGAACTGAGTGTAGAATTCCCACCTCATCACCTGTTCCAAGTATCCATGACCCACCACGCTATAAATTCCAGCTCTGCCACATGCACCTTTATTTTTCCTACCGAAAGTGCCACAACAAAAGAGCAATACAAAGATCATGTCTGAGCTAAGTGTGACAATAGGTGGTAGTGAAGCTTACAGATGAGCACAGCCTTCAAAGTCCATCCAAATGGGAATAATAGCTAACACTTACTGACAGCTAATAGAAGCTATACTAGAGGGATACAACAATAGTTAATGCTAGCTATACAATAATAATAATAGCTAATTCATGCCTACTATGTGTCAGGCTTGTTAGTCCTTCACATGCATTAACTTATTTAATCCCTTTAACAGTCCTCTGATGTAAGTGTTATTATTATCATTTTGATTTTACATATGTGGATAAACAGGTTAAGTAACTTACCCCAAAAATCACACAACTGGAAAGTGGCAGAGTTGTGAGCTGAACCCAGGCTGGCGCGTGCCCAGAGTTTACCAACTGAACTCTTTGACCTCTCAGTGGTAAAATTAAAAGTTCCCAGCAAGCTGACCTCTTGGAGCACTCATGTTAGGAAGATGACATTTCTGGATAATATAAGTTGACTCCAGTCTTTTTGTCCATAAGGAATGAAGCATTTTTATTTGGGAAACCTATACACAAAGGGAGTCCCAGGATATAAAGGAGTAAGGCAAGAACCAAGAAGAAATGTCATTCTCTTCTGCCTTGGCACAGCCTGGTTATCACTGACTAAGAACAATAATAATGGCTAATTTTGGCTAATAAAATCTCCAGCTTTGACTTTCTCCTAAAGAATGTGGATCCTTGCACGAGCAAGATATTGCCATCATTTTTTTTCTAAAGAAGCAGCAAGATATTGCCATCATTCATTTACTCAGTAGTGTCACTAAGGAAAATACTTCCAGAAAGAAAAATAAGGACAAAACACTTCCCTAAACCAGGCGTAAAAGTCCTCTAACAAAGGAATTTAAGAGAAAAAGATAACACCGGATTTATCTTTCTTAACTATTACTTGAAAAACCGTCCCTCCCAGCACTCCCTAAGGAGGCAAGCACACTGACAAGGCCCCTTTGGTCTAAGACTGCGACCTCACATCCCTACTGATCGTTGAGAACTCAGGAAGGGGGAGCATCCCGCAAGCCTAGAGCGTTATCTGCACAATCTGAATACCAAGGACTGGAGAAAGAGAAGTTTAGAAAAGAGTGAAGATCCCAGAGAGGAAGTTCAACTGACCTGGAAAAAAGGGCCCAGCTGAAACTGCCTTTCAACCTCAGTCCGATTCCCCACAAATCTCCCTACAACCAGCTATATCCCTCGGCAAAAGGAAACAAACACGGGCAAGGCAATACAAGAGTAGGAATTATGCAAAATAAAATGCGTAATGAGGATGTCTCTCCATCAAAAATACTCCAAGATTTTCCTACACAATCCCATGTAACAAAACCAAATGCAAACAACAATAAACCCTCGAGAAGCCCATGACAAACGCAGACTGAGCCCATCTCGCCCCACCTCACGTCGCACCCCGGTACCCTGGCTAAGGAAAATGTGCCCCCCGCCCATGAGAAGCCTTCCGGCGTCCGGCCAAGGTCCAGCAGCCGCCCGGGTTGAGTTTGCCCAACTCTTACCCAAGTCCAGAGATCTTGAGAATCGCAGCGCAGCCTTTTCTCCCCGGTCTTCACCCAAAGCCAGCCAAGACACAAAATCTGTTCCAATCAGCGCGGTTAGCGTCCAAGCAGTGTCCCAGAAGAAAGCGATCTTTGGGAGTCTTCTTTCAGGCGTAAAGGTGGAGACGCGGGAAAGAGGAACGTCTCAGCGCGTTCCCAGTCCCCCAGTTTTGCGCACGGGGAAAGTACTTGCTGCAAACTTGAACAAGGTTTTCTCTGTCTGGCCCGAGATGCTGGGGGGGGGCAGGGGGGGCGGGTAACCCGAGCCGGGGCCGGGATTCGAGCAGTTGCCGCTGCTGCAGCTGCTGCTGCCGGGACAGTGGCCGCTGGGGGGTTGTCGCTTGGCGCCGCGCTCTGTCCCTAGCGCAACACGCAGGATCTTCCCGGCCCGACTCCTGCACCTCGATCGTGAGTCGCCCCTGCCTGAGCGGCTTCTACCGCCTGGTGGGTGACCCGGCAAAAGGCCTGGTCGCGAAGTTAGCAAATGTTGGGGTCACCGCAGGAAGTGACTGAAGGGGTGTCAGAGTGGGTGCCCGCCTGATTCCCAACCCACGTTGGATGCGAGTCCCTCGTCAAAGTCCCTGGGAGGTGTTCTAGACCCTCTGTAAGGATTTGTGGGATGGTGGCCGCGCCCGAGCGGCCAACTGGAGCGGACGGCGGGTCCTCAGTGGTGTCAGGGGAGAAAGCGCAAAGGTGGGATCCAGAAAGGATGGTGATTAAGCCGTGCCAGAGAATGTGATGCGGCAGCAAAGTACATGGAAAGGTGGAGCGGGGAGGTGAAGGCAGGGGGTGGAGGGTGGGATAGTCTGCTTTATCAAGGCGGAGCGGAGAGAAAACTCCCGGGACGCGCAGGAAAATCCCCCCAGGTCCTCCGAGGCCTCGCGCGGCGATTTATTGGGGAATGGCTCCCTCTGCCGACTCGCCGAGGAGGCCCCGGGAGGCCCAGTGATGGAATGTTCAAACCATGAACGGGCTCTTCCATTTGTGGGTTGGACAGGACGTGAATTCTGGAATCTGCTTCTCTGTCTGTCCATCTTCCTCTTCCAGACTAAAGAGTTTTCCAGCTTTTACAGGACCCCAAAAGGTACAAATCTGATTGCTGCAAAGTTCTTTCTTATGTCGTTGAATTCTATCCCCCTCTCCCCACAAAAAACAAAAACAGGCTATGCCCCATAACCACTCCAGATAATCGTCTCCTACCACGCTTCTCTTCCTTCCATTAATAAGAACTAGAGCATTCGCGTCCCTACTCAATAACCCTCCTGGAAAATAGTACAGACTCCGTATTATGTTTGAGTGAATAAATGAATGGAATGAATGAACATAGATATGTTTGAAGCCCCTCACCATCCTCTTTACTCTCCCTGGGAACACGCAGGGGAAGACTATTTTGGTGTTTGTTTGTTTGTTTGTTTGTTTGTTTGTTTAGCAGTCATCATTGCCCCTTCTCTGGTAACAGTACCTCCATTTACCTTTGAGATACCACTCCTGCCACAAGGACAGCAGTCTGGGCGGGAAGCTCAGTCAGGATGGTCCACCTTTTCCCTGTCCAGAAGAGAGCACCTGACCTAAGCTAAGCCCCTCAGACCCTCTCTGCCAGGAATTGGAACTTTGATCTGGGCAGCACAGGCACAAATAATTCTAGAGGTGATTAATCCATTTGGCTGTTTTCTAAGGAAATTGGCCGTTAGTTCATGCCACTTATTACCCAAAGACATTTTGCTTTATGAAACTTGGTCGCCCCACTTTCCTTTTAATTTTTAAATCAATTTTATTGGGCCATAAGTTACAAATACATTACACTCATATTAATTGTACAGCTTCATGAGTTTTGAATAATGTACACACATGTAACCACTGCTTCAATCAAGATAATGAACAATTCCATCACCCCAGAAGTCAACCTCTATCCCACCCCATATTTGGCCCACTTAGCTGTTTTCTGTAACTACAGATTAGATTTGTCTTTTCTAGCATTTCATATGAATGGAATCACTTACATATTCCTTTGTGTCTGACTTCCTTCACTCTACACAATGTTTTTGAAACTCATTAATGTTGTGCCTGTATCTGATGTTTGTTTCTTTTTATTGCTGAGTAGTATTCCATTGTATGGATATACCACAATTTGTTTACCAGTTTACCAAATGATGGACACTGGGGATGTTTTCAATATGGGGTTATTATGAATAAAGCTGCTAGGAACAATCTTGAACAAGTCCTTTTATGGACATACATTATTATTTTTCTTATCTTACAGTAGTAAAATTATTAATACAGTAACTGTGTGTTTAACTATATATAGAGATGAACTGCTTTCCAAAGTGAAAACATTTTACATTCTCACCAGCAAGATATAATTGCTTCACATCCTCACCAAAACTGGGTAGTTTCTGTCTTCTTATTTTTACCATTCTAGTGAGTATATAGTGGTATCACATCATGGTTTTAATTTGCGTTTCCCTACTGACTAATGATGGTGACAATAAAAGATGTTTACCAGCTTTTCATGTGCTCTCATGCCAGCTGTTCTTTGATAAAGTGTCTGAATTTATTGCCCAATTTTTAATCAAGTATTTGGATTCTTATTATTGAGTTGTAGGAGTTCTTTATATACCAGGCATTTGTCAGATATATATATATATATAAAACAAATATACACTCCCAGTCTGTTTCTTGTCTTTCAATTTCTTAATAGTGTCTTTCAAACAGCAGTTTTTAATTTTGATGAAGTCCAATTTATCAAGTGTGGGGGGTTTTTTTGTGGTTATACTTGTTAGGTTTTACATAAGCAATCTTTGCTTACCCCAAGGTCATGAAGATTTTCTATGGTTTCTTATAGAAGCTTATGGTTTTAGCTGTTATATTTAGGTCTACGATCTATTTGCTATTAACTTTTGTGTATGGTATGAAGTAAGGGCCGAAGTTCATTATTGTCCACATGGATATCCAGTTGTTTTGTCACCATTTGTTGAGAAGATTACCTTTTTTCCCATTGAGTAACTGGATACCTTTATCAAAAATCAATTGGCCATGGATGAGTGAGTCTATTTCAGGATTCACTCATTATTCCTTTCATTTGATCTATATTTCTATTCCTATGCCAAAACTATACTGCTCCAATTACTCTAACTTTACAGTAGGACTCCAACTTAGGTGTAATAAGTCTTCCAGTTGTGCTGCTTTTATTTTTTTTTCAAAATATGTTTAACTCTTCTGCTTTCGTTTTTATTTGGTTTTCATCTTCCATGTAAATTTCAGAATTCGCTTGTCAATGTTATAAAAATTCACTTTTCTAATTAAGAGTGCCTTGAATCCACTGACCAATTTAAGGAGAACTGACATAACAATATTGATTCCTCTAATCTATGAACATGTTATATTTCTCCATTAATTTAGGTATTCTTTAATTCTTCTCAGCAATATTTTGTAGCTTTCAACATAGCAGTATTATACATAATTTTAAAAATGAATCCCGTAGTATTTTATTTTTGATATTTCATAAATGGAATTATTTTTGAGTTCTTGTCTCCAGTTGTTCATTGCTAGTATGGAGAAATACAGTGGAATTTTGTGCAGTACCCTCACATTTTGCAACATGGCTAAATTTACTTATTCGTTCTAGTAGTTTTTCTTTTTCAGTTTCCTTAGGATTTTCTACATGCTCTGCTTCTTTTATTTGTCTTGCCTTATTGCACTGGATAGGATGCCCAGTACAACATTGAATACAAATGCTAAAATTTAGTATCCCATCCTTGTTGTTCATCATAAACCAAAGCAATCAGTCTTGTACCTTTAAGTAGGATGTTAGTTGTTTCATTAAACTCCCTTTATTAATTGAGAAATTCCTTCTATTTTTAGTTCATTTGAAATTGTTTATTTTACCATGAGTGACTATTGAATTTTGTCAAATGTTTTTCTGTATCAGTTGAAATTATTATACGGTTTTTCTCCTTTTTTCAGTTAGTTAATTGAACTATTTATTAAACTTGCCTTGCATTCTTGGGTTAAGGCTTACTTGGTCCATGTAGTGTATTATACATTTGATACACTGTTGGATTTGATTTGCCAAAATTTGTTCAGGATATTTGTGTCTATACTCATTAATATTATCGGTCTACATTTTTATTTTCTTGTTATCTCTTTGTCTGGTTAGAGGTTCATCAATTTTTAAAAATCAATTCAAAGGATCAGACTTTAGTTTCACTGATTTTTTTCTATCACTTACACATTTTCTACTTTGTTGATTTTAGCTCTTACCTTTACTATTTCCTTCCTTCTATATACATTAGATTTATTTTTCTCTTCTTTTTTCTTTAATTTCTTAAAGTCAAATTTTTACTCATTGATTTTTAGATTTCTTTTTTCTTATATAAGCATTTAAAATTATAAACTCCTCTCTAATAACTACTGTAACCATGTTCCACAAATTTTGATAACCTGTTTACATAGTTCAAAATATTTTTTCTTTAACCTATAGGTTATATGGAACATTGTTATTTAATTTCCAAATTTCAAGGAATTTTTTAGGTATTTGTTTTATTGATACATAATGTTTTACATATTTGCAGAATACATGTGAATATTTGTTACATGCATAGAGTATGTTACAAAGGGAGCATCTTGGGTATTCATCACCTTGAGCATTTATTATTACTATGTGTTAGGAACATATCTAGTCCTCTCTTCTAGCTCCTTTGAAATGTACAACACATCACCCTTCTCTGCTAACAACAGTCACCCTTCTCTGCTATTGAACATTAAAAGCTATAACTTCTATCTAACTGAATGTTTACACTCATTAACCAACCTCTCTTCATGTCTCCCTCTCACTCACACACTCTTCCCAACATTTGGTATCCATTATTTCACTTTCTACCTTCAAAAGATCAACTTTCTGAGCTCCCACATATGAGTGAAAACATGTAACATTCCTCTTTCTGTACTTGGCTTATTTCATGTAATGTCCTCCAGTTCCATCCATGTTGCTGCAAATAACACTATTCCATTTTTTTTATGGCCGAATAGTATTCCACTTTGTGTATATACCACATTTTTTAATCCATTCATCAGCTGATGGATGCTTACATGAATTCCATATCTTTTCTATTATGAATAGTGCTGCAATAAGCATGGGGCACAAGTATCGTTCTGATACATTGATTTCGCTTCCTTTGATTAAATACCCAGTAATGGGATTCAGATATATTATTATTTGTTTTAATTTTATTGCAGCCAGAGAGAAGGTTCATCTTATTTCAAGGCTTTTAAATGTACTGAGACTTGCTTTATGGCAAAAATATGGTCCTTGGTGAATGGTTCATGTGCACCTGAAAAGAATGCACAACTGCTGCTGCCATTGGGTAGATTGTTCTAAAAATGTCAACTGGGTCTCATTAGTTGACACTGTTGGTCAAGTCTTCTGTTTCCTTACTAATTTTTACTACCTTTATTCTGAACACTATAACATTACCAATACAATCTTAGATTAAGTAGATTTCTTTGTTGGTGGTAACTATATCACTCTGTTGTAACACAGAATTTATAATCTACTAAAATTTCAATTATTTCTCATATTTGCTATTAGTCTTGACTTCTTAAAATATTATTTGTATTTTTAGTTGAGAATTTCATAGTAATTTTATAAAACTGTTCATTTAGCTCTATTGAATTCCATTTTTGTATATGCAGTCCATCTTTAGAACCTGTCAAGGGCTTAGTGGAGCTAATTCTTTTCCTAGTATATTAGCTAGCCAGCTTGAAATCATGACATTTGGAATTGATCAGAAAGCCATGATGCTCTTAGGCAAATAATTATTAGACATGTAGAAGCAGATAGAAATAAAATGCATTTTCTAACAGACTTTCTTCTCCATTTATATTTATTCACATCGTGTAGTGTAGTCATTCAACTGCTGGTGAATTCTACAATTCTATTATTATATCCAGTCTACTTTCTTCATCTGATCCACAAGGATTTCATGGGATATTTTTTCAATTACCTTATAAATCCAGATATATTCTCATTTGTTCCATTTACCTGTCTGCTAATATTTTGAATAAAGAAAACTAAGTCAACCTACCAGTTCTACCTCTTAGCAAACAAGATTGGCTTCTTATACCCATAATTTCCTTCAGTAGTGCTCTCAAATTATGCTTCTAAATCTATGATTTAAAAGCTTGCTTAGTTACAGCAATAGACTAGAGTTCACAGAGTTTACCTTCTTCCCACTTAAAAAAATAGAAGTGGGGGTTTCTGCAGAGTGTAAAGTCATAAGTATGGCAGAAGGTTATCATTTTTTTACTTCATTCAATTCTAACAAGAGGCATGTATAATTACTCCTGCTTTACAGGTAACGAAACAAAGGCTCAGAGAGATCAATTATCTTGCCCATGATCCTATATCTAGTGAGTGGCAGAGGGAGGACTGACCCTGGGTCTGACTTCAAAGCTTATGCTCTACCACTTCACCTGCCTCAGAACTACATCTGTTTATTCTGGTCTTTTGATTGCTCACTGTGGTTCCTGAAATCTCACAATTGTGCTATGTTTAAACACTTTTTCCCCATAGTCACTGAAAATCTGCACTGAAAAAAAAAAAAATGCTCAGGAGCCTTAAAGCTCTTGTGTGTATGCAACTTTATCTCTCCCCACAACACAAATGCGGGCAAGACTGGAAGAGGTCGTGTCTTTAGCCATAGGTCTCAGCCAAGGGACGTAGAGGATTAGAAGGGTGGGGTTCTTGGCCCATGAGTCTCCTCCCAGATGCCTTCATTTCAGTCTTCTTCTTCTAGTCCTAGACATTTTTTTAAGCTCCCTTCTCCAGTATGACTTTTGTCCAGGTTTTTGAAAAGATCACTGTCTTTTAAAGGTAGTGGAGGAAGAAAGGGAAGAGCAGAACAATGAATGAGGAAATTGTATTTGCACCCTCGGACCCTGTACCAGGAGTTAGGAGTACTTTTCTGTCTTCTTCATGTAATATGTCTTCACAGATGTAAGGCAATCCTGGTATTCTTAGTTTGAAAAGGGCAACAGTGGGATTCCAAATTCATCCGTTTATTTCCCCTAGCTTAGTGTTTTCCCCCAAAAAAGTTTTAATATGATCCACAGTAAGAAAGACATTTTTCATTATGACCAAATTCTTATCTTTGTAAGTATATAATTAGAACAAGTTTCAACACTTACTCTTACCATATGTAATGCCCTCTCATGTTTTAACAATGCTTCTCGACCTTTCATGTGCAAGTTCATCAGCTAGAGATTTTGTTAAATATGAGGTTCTGATTCAGTATCCAGGGTGGAGACTGCATTTTAACAAACTCCTACGTGGATGTTTCCGTTTCTTAGATTGCACTTTAAGTAGCAAAGTTCTATTCTGTATTGTTTTAGTTAAATGTTAAATTACTTTTAGGACTCCCAAATGTGTCTGGACTGGCAGTTTGTAAAAGCTTTGCTGGTGTATTGGGGCAGCATGCCTATCTAGGATATTCTTGTAAACGTAGACTAACTGTGGAGTGGGATCATGCTTGGAAGTAGTTCAGCAAGAAACCGGATTTATCTTCCATATACCAAGACCAGAGAATCACAGAAGTAAAGACATGAATATCTTCCTGAAATTGCTTTGTTTTTTAATTTCAACATTTGATACAGTGAATACATCTATTATAATTTGGAATAAATAAATCTAAGTATTCTGCATAATGATGACTTATGAATGTGTGTGAAAAGAAAGTTGCAAAAGTTGACTGAAGGTGAATATGGCAATGATGTAAGTATCAGGGGGAAAAAAACATTTCCTGTAGTGTGATCTTCTTTTGTCTGCAGTATGAATGCATACTGTATCAGTCAGGGTTCTTTTTTTCAAGTAACAGAAACCAACTCCAACTAACTTAATAAAAACAACACTGAAGGATTCCAGAAGAGTGGGCAACTGGGAGGACCAAAGTTAAAAACGAGCAAGAACCCCTTTAGAGGACTGGGAAGAAAAGAATCAAAGCCATGGTCTCAGAACTGAACCAGTCTGGTCAGGCTGTCCCTGCTGAGATTAATGAACTTGAACCATTTCTTTCCTTAGTTTTCACATCATGCTCTCAAGATCAAAGTCACAGGAGAGAGCATTCATTTGGCTTAACTTAGGTTTTGCACTCCGTCCTGACTATTCTAAGAAAACAGGAAGGATTTGGCCCTTCAAACTTCCACAGTGGGACAGGTGCCTGATACACCATCCTTCCAGGAGCATAGAAAAGTGGGGAGAGGAGATATTGTCCCACAAAGAAAACAGGATGCCACTGGGAAAAGAAACTATTAGATTGGTGCAAAAGTAATTCCAGGTTTTGCCATTAAAAGTAATTAGAAGTAATGGCAAAGCCTGCAATTACTTTTGCACCAATGTAATAGATTCTAAGTCATCAATAAACTATACTGGACACAGTGTCATGAATTAGTCAGGCCCTTATTACAAGTATAGCAGGAAAGTAAATGGGATTTCAATTTTGGGGAACCATGGGTATAGTCTCAGAGAGTAAATCATAATTGGTGCATATTCTAATGTGTATCCAAATCCACTCCTTGAAGGACTTAATAAAAGGCATCAGAAAACCAACTTCAACACCACCAGCAACCACTGCCACAGCCACCTCAACCCCTATTCCTTTTCCCCTATAGGGAAAAACTAAGAAACTCAAGAGGAGTCATCAGAATTCCTTCCATGTGGGAGTCATCAACCCAACTGGTGACTTTTTATTCTGCTCCACATATAAGAGGTAAGAGGAATATTTCTTCCCTCCTATGACAAGTTAAGTAAAAATGGAGGGGGAAGCAAGAGAAATAATCACAGTGATGAAGAATGCTAGCGAGAGGTAGAAGCCAGTCATCTCCAACCTTAGTCAGACTTCCGTGAGGTTGGCCAGGCAGATTTACTCTCCCCACATATTTCAACAGAAGGAAAGGAATTGGAAAGAGACAGTAGGCAGCTTCTGTTCCCACCGTTGGGTGAGGCAAGAATGCCTGAGTTTCCTTAGGGCCAAATCAATACCACAAGAGGTATCTGGGCTTAAGCAATCTTGTCCTGACCTTACCTAAGAGGGTTGCCTGCTAGTGGAGGAACACAGCCAAGGAGTGGGAGCTGAAGGAGGAGGGGGCAGAAGAACTTGGGTTGGGGTCATCACTCACATCAGATGCCTGTGCAACCGGGGCCCCTGCTAGGCCTACTGAAGAGCCTGCCCATGCCCTGCCCTTCAGCAGTGTCCAGACATCTGCCACAGGCATAGTTGGCCATCCTATGTACACCACAGCAGCAGCAGCTAAGCAAATGCCTGTCCTTTCCTTTATCCCTGCTCCAAGACCCCAACACTCCAGCAGATACAGGAAAGATGAAGGAAAAGCAGGAAGTAGAGGAGCAGGAGAGAAACACTGTACACACAATTCCCCCAGGGCAGGGCCACTGGCCCCTGGTCACACCTGGACTGACAGGAAGAGTGAAAAAGTGGATATAAGGTGAGACTCGAGCTATAAACTTAACTTTTTAAACCTGAAAATGTCTGAAATGCTACACACACTTCCTGAGACGTTGTGAAGGGACACAAAAGTCTCATCAAAGCATGCCTGAAAACAATGTAGGAGAAATCAAATAAAAGGGCTTCATGTTAGTATCCCACTGACTCTCCAATAAACTGGTTACACGGCAAAAGAAACTGACTTCCAGTAGTTTAAGCAGAAAAGGAATTTATCGAGAAGCTGCTGGGTGCTGAGTATAACACCCAGAGGGCTGGAAAACTAGGTTAGGAAGATGGTGCAGGGACAGAATGAAGTTCTGCTCCCAGAGTTAAAATCATTCCTCGGAACTGGTCTGGGAAAGCCCTGTCACTGGATGCCAGATGCTGGAGTTCTCACCATCAACGCCTCCAGCCCTGGACACTGACTCCGAGGCAACCACTGCCTCTGGGAATAGGAGGTTGCTGACATCCCTGAGCTGCCAAAAGAATTCTCCATTATCCCAGGTTCCAATTCAAAGCCCAGAACTGATGCACCTGATTGGCTGAGCCCCAGATGCATGTCCAAGGCCCCTTTGGAAAGGAGTCCTAAGAAGCAAGTATATGCCCTTTGTTGTTTCTCTCCTGCGAAGAAAGCTCTTCCTCTCAGCAAGTCTCATAAGCAGGGTTGCTATAAGCCCATACGGTGTTTTCTGCAAAATGAGGAAAATGCATGCCTCTAGTTGGGAAAATAAGCAGGAATCTTTCCTTTCTCTGGTGGCTACAGAACACTGTCAAGAATCAGAGATCACGGCATGCCTGAATTTCAGCCTCACATGCTGTCTCTGCTGGGAGCCTTTGTGCAGTGCACGAACTGCACATGTGTATGTAGTAGCCCTGCTAATAAGGTGAGTGTTTCTCAAATGCAAATGGGAATGCAACTGAGGTAATGAATACATATTACAGGAAGACATCAGACTTAGGGAGAAACACAGTTAACAGACTATGAGCACACAACTTGATGGGGACCACTGGAGAAATGCTATTATGAAACAAAGACAAGTGAACAAAAGCCAGGCAAATATTGGACTTCGCTGAGCACACACTTCATGTATTAATAAAACCGAACCAGCATCATGAAGAGCATCTCTTTGCATCTTGTATGGATTTTGTCCTCCAATGAATGCAGGTACCAAGTAATATTGACAGAGAGAAAGCACATCTGAATCATCATGCAGAATTACTTAGAAGCAGCAAATGTTTAATCAGTGCAAATGTTATGATTTACAACACCACCCCTCCTGAATGACAGGATCATTTTCTCATATTTAACAAAGAAGTTTTATAAAAAATTGTGTATGTTTTCATGTTAAAATTAATATTCGTTTGTTCACAAGTACTACAATAATTTAGCCAAGTGTTTTTGAAAGAAAACAGTGGATATTATTTTAATACAATATAATAATATATAAACTCTTTTGCCCACATATTCATGATCGAATTAAAAGTAAACACTAGTAAGTTATTGCTGTTTTCATCCTTAAAGTAATAGAAATAGAAAAGACAAACAGATTGATCAGATCATTTGATATCAACTAGTCAGGAGAGAAAAAGCAGATTTGATTCAGTTAAGTGATTTGTCTATACCATCATCCTGCATCAGATCAATTGTACTGTGCATGTATTACTCCGTCAAGTTTCTAGGTTGGTTGATTTTATAGATGCTATGTCTGGAGTCTCTTTCTATAGTGGAGTGCTGGGTTGAAAGTCCATTTGGGGAGGGTTCAAAATAGAATGGAAGGAGAAGTATTTGATGCAGAGTATTGTCTTTCAAGTTTTATTCTAAACTGCAGCAAAAAAAATGAGGCAGTAATTAGACGGGGATATAAGATCACAGGAGAGTTTTCTGAGGTGGGAGGAATTGTTGTTTTCGCAGGCTGTTGGAAATGACCCATGGAGATCCGGTGTGGCTGAGGGGTGGCTCGCTATCACTCCAACACTATTTCTGAGAATTCTTGGCTATTTTAGTATTCTCTGTGGATGACCTTTTCAACAATCCTGGGCTCTCAGTTCCAGGATCACCTTTCCTCCAGTGAACATGTTCGCCATCCTACCTCAGCCACTCACTACTATTGCCATAACTTAGACTTTGTCATGATCAGTAATTGCAGCCTCTCCATAATCCCAATTTCAAGCACCTCACTCATCCATAATTATTTTTCTAACTCTCTTGTTCACTCAGTCTGGACCGTCAACTCAAATAATTCTCCTAATATATCAGTATCCAAATCCATTGATCCTAACCTTTTCATGTTCCTCAACATTTTAAGTCTTTGCCTCCCTCCTTACTTGGTCTGAATACCATGGTTAGTCATCATGGTAATTTCTTCCATACACTCAACTCATTTGCTCCTCTCTTGCTGCATTGTACTCACTTGGCAAAATCCCAATGCTGGTTCAGTCCAACTCTCCACAAACTCCATGGTGGCACTGGTGCAATTTAATGTGTTGGAGAAAAGTAGAAATTAAAGCATTAGCAAACATTAATGAGCATCACTCTAAATTCATGACTACTAGTACTAAGTGGATCCTTGGCACTACCCAGCAACCTAATTATATCTCCTTAGTTCACTTGCTCTTCCATTCTTCTAGATGGTGACCTTCTCTCTTTTCAAACATCCAATATCTCTTCTTTCATCTTCACTGTCAGTTGAAGACCCTGCTTCTCATTTCCCTATTTCACTGAGAAAACTGAAGCAATTAGAGGAGAATCTCCACAAACTTCTGCAACTACAGCTGGTCATCCACCTTCATGTCTGGTCATGTGCTTTGCCTCCCCTCCTGATGGATTGACCACACTTATTTAAGGCCATCCTCCTCACTTATGCACTAAATTCATTCCCTTGGGCCTCCCAAATGACATGGATTTCTCCCTCTCTTTCCTGCATTATTAATTCTCTCCTCTCAACAAGAGTACTCCCATCAGCATTCACAAATATTATTTCTTCCACTTAAAAAAGAACTTTGTTTGATCCTCCTCCTACAGCTATTCTCTTCACTGTAAACTCCTTGAATTAAATTTCTAAACTTAGTATCTTCACATTTTTTCCTTCTATTCTCTCTTAAATCTCCTCTAATCAGGGTTTTGGCTCCCAATCCTCAAATTAATACTGCTCTCTTATTTTTCAAGGTAATCAAATGAGATCCAAGTTGCTGAAACCAATTGTCAGAAACATTTTCTTCCCTTCATTGAACATCTTGCTTGACTTGACATCCGGGATACCAGACTTTTATAGTTTTCCTTTTTTCTCTCTGGTGGCTCCTTCTGTGTTACTTTGTTGGTTTCTTCACATCTTTCCAACCTCTAAATTTTGAACCACCCAGGTCTCAGTCATTGGATCACTTTTCTTTTCCAGCTACAATAACTTTGTAGACTATCTCATTCAGGCTCAGAGCCATAAATACCATTCCTTTACTGACCACTGCTAAATATAGATCTTCAGCCTTGACCTCTGCCCAACTGCCTCCTGGACATCACCACTTGGTTCACAGATGGGCATCTCAAAATTAATACGTTCAAAACCTAACTCCTAATTTCCCTCTAAAAGTCTGCTCTTCCCAAATTCATCCCTTTCATCCCCATCTCAGCAAATGGCATCTTTACCCTTTCATTTGCTTATATCAAAAACCTTGGTGTCATCCTTGAGTTGCTCTTTCTCTCACACCCTCCATTCAAACTATAAGCAAATTCTATAGGCTCTACCTTCAAAATACATTCACCAACCTATCCAGACCTTCATCATTACCCCTGAATTAATGCAGTGGTCTCTTTATTGTTCTCCCTTTTTCTGACCTTAACTCTCCACCAATCACTCCAAGTGCCACAGCTAAAGTTATCTTGTTAAAACATAAGTTAGATCATGTTTCTCTCTTACTGTAGCCCCCATGTTCTCCCATCTTAGAGTCAAAGTGTTCACAATGCCTCTGTTTCAAGTCTTGTTCTCCAGAAAACAGCCTCTGAGATGGAGATTTGTAGGCAGGAGGTTTCTCGGGTTTGCTCTCAGGAGTAACACTTATAAGGAAGTGAGGAAAGCAGAATTGGGCAGAAGGACCAGTGGACTGTGATATAGTTATGACAGGCCCACAGAGCTGGCCTGAATTGAGGCAAGGGCACCCAACTCTTATAATCCCTCAAGGACAGTCTTTGGATGTGGTCTGCTCCTGGGAGACAGCATAACCTTGGGAATGAAATTCTTTTCTGTTGAAGAAATTCCAGATGAGGAACTGAGCTA